CAATTGTCTTGTCACTTCACTGTTATTGTTATGTGCTATGGAGTACGTTCCGACTCATAGTGACCCTATACAAGGTTTCCGAGGCTGTAAATCTTTACAGAAGCAGAATGCCTCATCTTTCTCCCATGGAACTGCTGGTAGTTTCAAACTGCTGACCTTGAAGTTAGCAGGCCAATTCGTAACCATTACGCTACAGCCCGATTCGTAACCACGATGCTACCGGAGCTCGAAACTACCAGCCGCTCCGCGGGAGAAAGATGAGGCTTTCTGCTCCCGTAAAGATTTACAGCCTCGGAAACCCTGTACAGGGTCGCTATGGGTCGGAACCAACTCCATGGCACTTAACAACAACAACAACTCTATTATATGTATAGAGTCCTGGTGTGGCACTGTAGGATAAGCACTGGACCACAAGGTTGGCAGTTCATACTCACCAGCTACTACTTGGAAACCCTACACAAGGTTGCTGGGAATCTGAACTAACTCAATGGCATTTTACAGCAACAACTTTGCATATATTACCAGACTGTATTAGGAGTACTTGGTTACATGTCCAAACTGTCATATACCATATGCATTTTATCCACAACAGTTAAACCCAGAACTGCCACATATGTAGTAGATGGTCAATTTGTGTTTATTTTGGCATGTGATCCTCTTTCTTATCTTCTAGTAGCACTAACCAGAAATATAATGTGAGCCATCTGTATAACTTTATTATTTCTGGTGTTATGTTATTGTTAGGTTCTTTTTCATCTACTCCAACTTGTAGCAACCCTCTGTACAGCAGAATGAAACACTGCCCCATCCTGTACCATCTTCTTAATCCTGGACACATTTGAGACCATCGTTGTAGTCACTGTATCAGTCCATCTTACCCAGGGTCTTCCTTTTTTTTCACTGATGCTGTACTTTACCAAGCATTAGGTCCTTTTTCAGGGACTGGTTCCTCCTGGTAACATGGCCAAAGTATCTGAAATGAAGACTCACCATCCTTACTTCTAAGGAGCATTCTGGTTCTACTTTTGGCAAGAGAGATTTGTTCTTTCTTAGTGACTCATAGTGACCCTTTACAGGGTTTTCGAGTCTGTACATCTTTACCAGAGCAGAAAGCCTTATCTTTCTCCCACAGAAAGGATGGTGCGTTTGAACCACTGACGTTACAGTTAACAGTCCAGTGCTTATTCTATAGCACCGTACCAGAACACCTGGTAGTACATGGTACATGAAATATTCTTCAGCAGACCACAGTTCAACTGCACCAATTCTTCTTCAGCTTTTCTAATTTAATACGTACTTTTCACATGTATGTGAAGCAATTGAAAATACCATGACATGGATCAGGTTCACATTATTCTTCAAAGTGACATCTTTGCTTCTTAACACTTATAAGAGATCTTTTGTAGCAAATTTACCCAATGCAATACTTTTTTTTTTTCTTGACTGCTGCTTCCATGGACACTGATTATGGATTCTAATAAAATGAAATACTTGATAACTTCCATTTTTTTCTCCATTTGTCATGATGTTGCTTATTGGTTAACTTGTGAGGATTTTGTTTTCTTTATGTTGCGATGCAATCCATGCAGAAGGCTGTAGTTTTTAATCTTTATTGTTGTTGTTGTTGTTAAGTGCTATTGAGTCAGTTCCAACCCATAGCGACCCTGCATAGGATTTCCAAGGAGCAGCTGGTGAGTTTGAACCTCTGACCTTGTGGTTCAATCTGACTTTATAGTCCAGAACATTAACTCACAGCACCACACCAGGATTCCTAAGTGCTTCAAGTCCACTTCACTTTCAGCAAGCAAAGTTGTGTCACCTGCATATCCCAGGTTGTTAGTGAGCCTTCCTCCAATACTGATGCCTCATTCTTCTTCATATATTCCAGCTTCTCGAATTATTTGCTTAGAATACAAATTAACTAAGTATGGTGAAAGGATACAACCCTGATGAACACTTCTCCTGACTTACCTGCTTCTTTGTCTATATTCAGATTCCTCATGAACCCAATTAAATATTCTAGAATTTCCATTCTTCAGGATCTCTAATTTGTTATGATCCCCATAGTCAAAAGCCTTTGCATAATCCATAAAACAGAAGTAAGTATCTTTCTGCTAGTTTCTGCTTTCAGCCAAGATCCATTTGATGTCAGTAATGATATATATCCCATGTTCTGTGAATCTTGCTTGAATTTCTGGCAGTTCCCTGCTGATGTACTACTGCAAGTGTTTCTGAACTATGTTTAGCAAAACCTTACTTGTGTGTGATATTAATTATAATGTTTGATGATTTCCTCATTCCATTGGGTTACATCTCTATGCAATGAACCCAAATATGGATCTCTTTCATTTGCTTGACCAGGTAGCTGTCTTTCAGATATCTTGGCAAAACATATAAGTACTTTCAGTGTTGTGTTTATTTGTTGAACTTCTCAGTTGATAGTCCACCAATACTTGGAGACTTGATGTTTCCTACATATTTCAATATCTTGCCTGTGTTCTTTTTTTAACTGCCATTGAGTCAGTTCTGACCCATAGCGACCCTGTATAAGATTTCCAATGAGCAACTGGTGAGTTTGAACTGCCAACTTTATGGTTTGCAGTCCATTGGTTATCCTACAGCACCACTCCATGACTCCATCTTGCCCTTGTTGTTGTTAAGTGCCATCAAAGCGGTTCTGACTCATAGTGACCCTGTATAGGGTTTCTGAGGAGCAGCTGGTGAGCTTAAGCCACCAACCTTGCTGTTCAAGCTGACCTTGCAGTCCAGCACATTAAACTGCAACACCACACCAGAACTCTTACCCTTAAGATTCTTTAATATTACAACTCAAAGCTTAAATTATTCCCTCATGCTTTCAGCTTGAGAAATGCCAAACCTGTTCCTCCCTTTTGGTTTTCTAACTCCAGGTCTTTATACATTTCATTATAATACTTCACTTTTTCTTCTTGAGCCACCATTTGAAATCACTTATTAAACTCTTTTAGGTTACCATTTATTCATTTCTCCTTAGCTACTCTACATTAAAGAACAAGTTTTAGCATCTCTTCTGGCATCCATTTTGTGTGTGTGTGTTTTTTTTTAATGGCCTTTGCTTTCTTCATGTATGATGTCATCCCACAATCCATGTAGTCTTCAATTGTTAGTGTTCATTGCATCAAATGTATTCTTGAGATGGTCTCTAAATTCAGGTTGTTTATGCTCAAGGTCCTAAGTTGGCTACTGTGGACTTGCTTAGATCATTTTTTAGTAGTCATGTTTTAAAAAGTAAAAAGAAACTGGTAAAATTAACTTTAATATTAAATATTATTTAACGTACCATATTCAAAATATTATCAACATGTGAATATGGCACAAGCTGCATTTCAAATGCTTTGTAACCCAGTGTGGCTACTGACTACCATATGGACAGCATAGATCTAAAGTAGTACTACTCAAAATATTTTAAATTACAGTACATATATAGGCAGTACTTCGCAACAGGATGCAGTTTTGTCCCTTAGAGACTGTTTGGCAATGCCTGGACACTTATTTTTTGAGACTTTTTGATTGTCACCTGAATTCCTCATATTGTTACATCAAGTTTTCAGCCTTCCATGATCAAAGCTGAAGGAGAGAGAATAAGCATATCTTTCTTTGACTAGTTATAAGAAAGATTGTCACACTGTGGACCAGACAGATCTGACAAGAAAAGGGTCTTTGTGTCCCAAATAAAGTGCCCACATTTTCACCTTTAAACAGCTGTATTAAGACAGTGGAGGCCTCAGTTAAGAACTATATCTTAGTTACAGGGACAACAATCTTACAATCATTTAAAATAACACACCTTCAATCTGCTTAGACTCTACACTTATTGAGAACCCCAACTTGATATATTATATCCATCATCAAATTCACAGCTTTAGCAAAAATATCCAATATTTACTAAGTATTCAGCAATTATTTGTTGAATTCATTAGTGAATGAATTTGACACACATTTAACATATAAAACTAAGGAGAGGAATCTGAGAATACTGTGAGTAGGGGACTAATGAAGACATGAAGAGTTTCAGGAAAATCTGCATTTCATTGGCAATCACATTGTTGTTGTTGTTGTTAAGTGCCGTCGAGTCGGTTCCGACCCATAGCGACCCTGTACAGGGTTTCTGAGGGTGTAAATCTTTACGGGAGTAGAAAGCCTGATCTTTCTCCCGCGGAGCAGCTGGTAGTTTCGAACCGCTGACCTTAAGGTTCGCAGCCCGATTCGTAACCACTACACTACCAGAGCTCCTTGGCAATCACATATGAACAAGTAAAGTAAGTAATGTCTGCTTCAGAACTCAAATACCCATTTGAGTTCACATACACATACACACACAAAAAAAATGAACAACATTGACAAAATTACATGAGTAACTTAAGACTCTGAAAATGCCTGAACTGTCTACAGTCTGTTACTGTCAAGTACATTCCTATTCATGGAGCCCATGTGTGTCATAGTAGTACTATGCTTCACAGGTTTTCCAATGGCTATAAACTTACAGGAGTAGATCACCAACTTCTAAGGTGCCTTTGCATGGATTTCCTACAGGAAATTTATAATCATACTTAATTGAATGAGCAATTATAAAGAGGTTATTGCGCTGATAAATAAAGAGGTTATTTAGCTGATTTCTTTTCCTTTGCTCTGATCATAATTTTGTGTATAGATACAAACAAGTAGAATTACCCAGATAAAGGTTATTATGCTTAACATAAAGGAATTAAAATGAAAGTAATTTATGAAAATAGTTCAAGGAAATTGTTTATATATGGAACTGACCACATTCTCGTTGCACATTAAGGTTGCAGTAAAACTAGTACATTTGTATCATCAAATTTCACTTGTCTAAATAGAAAATCCATAACTGAATTCAGGTAGTTGGTCCATAATTGTTGATTTCTATTCCTATTTGCATAAAGAAATAATCATAAAAGAGAAGTTTATTAAAAGTTTGTAACTTTTTTTGCTATCTCCAGTGTTCAGACTGCAACATAGTGCTTCCGATTCAAGCGACAAAAACCGAGTTAAAAGCAGATTAAAGAAGTTTATTACCCGAAGACCTTCCCTGAAAACTCTGCAGGAAAAAGGACTTATTAAAGGTATTGGAAATTTTAAACTTTCACTGTAACAGTGATAAATGAATATACCTCTGTGTTTGTAGCTAATGAGTTCTAAAGGAATATTAGGATTTAAAACTTTTTTTGGTTGCTTATTAAATTTTCTACACTATAACAAACAAACAAAAATATTGCCCAGAAAATTAATCCTGAAAATAAAAGAGACAAAATGGGATCATTGTAAAAAAAAAATACCTAGTTTTGTTATCTGTGTGTCCCCATATATAGACAGTCCCAGTTGCTCCTACTGCCCCAGCATATTTAACAACAGCCATTCCTTCACTCTCGAAAGTGTCTTCATTTGGATAAATGATCTGTTTACCCAAATTATAGTCTAAAGTATTAAACAGAAATTCTGAAACAAACTAGTATCATAAAAATTTAAAAAAATTGAGAGAAGGAGGGTTAAGAACTCAATATACACTTTAAAAAAGCAAGTTGTTGTTAAGTGCCAATGAGTCAGTTCTGAATCAGTGATCCTGTAAAGGATTTCTGAGGCTTTAAATCTCAGGAACTGAAAGCCTCATATTTCCACTGTAGAGAGGTTGTCAGGCTTGAACCATGGACTTTGTGGTTCACAGTACAGTGGTTACCATATGGAGCCACCACCCTCCCAAATAAGGCAAGTATTTTTCTAAATATATCTAAAGTAGAGAATGGATTATTTTAAATCATCCTATTAACCAGAGTAGAAAAACATAGGCTCTGGCAATTGGCAAATTGGAATTCAGACTTTGAGTCTACCACTTTGAAGTTTGAGTTGACTTTGAAGACATTTCTTTCTTAGTCTCAGATTTCTCATCTGTTACATGAGGCTATTTATACCCTTGCTTGAGATGATCCAGAGAAGTAAATAAGATAATTTCTGTAAAGCATTTAATAGAATAAGATCAGAGGATATTCAGTAAATATCCTCTGATCTTAAATGCTATTATCATTTATAAATATTGTTACAAGCGTTGATGTATCAGAAGGGAAGATAGAACAAATTTCTGCAACTGGAAGTCACCTTATTGGTCATAACGGCAAAACATAATATTATCTAAAAAAGAAAACATGAGCATGGAGTCTATTATTTCTTTTTAAAAATCTTTTCTAAAAAATATGTAAGAAGTGATTTGAAAATGAGCTAAGAATATACTTCTGATTCTAAGAATGGACTGTTTCTTATGAAAGTCAAAGGTGATTTCATACATGATGGGACTACAAAAAGTTTGTGGGAAAATGCCATTAAATTTTAATTCTACTTTCCACAAACTTTTTGAAGCCCCCTCATGTACTTACTTCTCAGGAAAATGGTAAAATGGAACTTGATATTTTCAGCAATATTTAGTAAGATAATTATTAAATGATTTATATTATTTGTTTTGCCCTATTAGCTTTAATTTGTTTTGAAATAAGTAAACACATAATAAAAATTGCAGCATTCTGAACTTTGCCACTGAACTCAAATTTTATCAAGCATGAGTATGTTGTTGTTGTTAAGTGCCTTCGAGTTGGATCCAAACCATAACAACCCTATACTGGGCTTCCTAGGAGCAGCTGGTAAATTTGAACCACTGATCTTGTGGTTCTAACCTACCTTGCAGTCCAGTGCACTGACCCACAGCACCACACCAGGACTTACACATATCACTAATAGAGTGAAAATTTGTTAGAACATAAGCATTTGGGGGCAGAACTTTCAATCAGTTGCTTAATTTATTTATTCTATGAAGATGGCATTTTGATGATGTAGACAGTGTTTGATTTTTACATATTAACTCCTTATGTATAATAATATACTTACATTTGAGCTGTGCCTTAAAAGTCAGCGAATAGGTGATCATAGAAAAGATTCAGTTGCAGATTACCAGCCATCTTGAAAAATATAAAACCAGATTAGCAGCCCAAATAATTCCAATAGTTTATGGAATCCAAATGTTTTATGACTGTGACAGAATGAAAGAGGTTTTCATTCAGTGGTGGAATCTGGCTTCAAGCAAAATGCAAAAGAATTAATAACTGCAATGTTCTAAAATTGATCTCAGCAAGCAGCAGAGAAACTGGGTGCCTATATTAAGTATTCATACTGATGTAATGGAACCACTGAACACACTCTGATGCTTACGTTTTCTATCTTAGAGCTCCATTAAGCTTTCCCCATAGCTGACCGATGAGTCAGTATTCATTAGGAAGGGCTGTGTAAAATCTATGTGAAATCCTGATTTGATAAGCTTCCATTGTTGTGTTCAGTGGAATTTTTTCCAAATACAGATCAAGTTACACAAATATAGTCTCTTCTTGAATGAGTTTCAGTGTTAACTGTGAACTTAAGGTTTTTACTGTGTTGTTTATTTTTTAAACCGAGGAAAAGGCATTGAACTAATTTTTATTAATGCAAGAGCAGTCAAATTTATCATAGTTTTCTGTATATAAAATGCCCAAGTAAGTCATTTGCACATAAAAAAAAAACTAGCATAGTATGTATGCGTAGCAAATTAACCTGCTAGGGGGTTGTGAAGTTCACAAACACTGTGCAACTTGTGTGTTATTTGCATAAAAATAGTATTACTTTGGTCCATTTCTTATTAGAATTGAGGCAACACTGGAAAAAGCTCTAAAAATTAATGGTTTTGATCAGATAAGAAAAATAGCATTAGATAATCAATGATTAAATGGCTGTTTTCTTAATGAAAAATAAATTTCACAATGTTTTGAATTAGATAGAAAAAATGTTGTTATTGTTAAGCACCATGGAGTCTGTTCTGACTCATAGCAACCCTGCACAGGGTTTCTGAGGCTGTAAATCTTTACGGGAGCAGAACGCCTCATCTTTATCCTGCAGAACCACTGGTAGTTTCGAACTGCTGACCTTGAAGTTGGCAGCCCAACTCGTAACCACTGTGCTACCAGAGCTCCTTAGAAAAAAATGTGTAATGGTCTTTAAAATCATTCTGTAGTGCATTTTAGCCAAAGAATCTGTATATTTAAGACCTAGACAAACAGCTTCCATTACCAAGGTGTAAGAAAGTTATTGTTTGGTCATTTGGGACTTAATGGTTGAACTTTCTGAGACCTGTGAGGGGCATTTTCCAAGTATTTAGTCTTTCATTCAGTGTTGCAACATGTTGAGAGGGCTAAACTTTAAATTCAGTCAATTTTTCTTGAGCACTGTTGGTGGAGGGAGGGCCATGCCTTATAGACTTTGTAACAGCCAGCAGAGCAACATGTGTGTGTCCTCTTATCACACACTCTAAACTCATAAAACCCTTTCTTCAAAATCTGTTATTTGGGCTGATGGTGACCTGTCCAGTATGTGTTTTTTTTGTCCAGGATCTTAATTTTGAAACATACATGGTAGAGTTGCAGTTTCTAATTTCTTCAATATGACTAATAAGAAGGATAGACTATTACATAAAAAGTGGTGTGGGGGCAGCAGATAAGTCTGAACGGTACCTCCATAGCTCAGGTGGGTGTAGCAATCATTGTGCCAATACAGTGGTGGTGGTAGTGTGCCGTGGAGTCAGTTCTGACTCATAGCGACCCCGCATAGGGTTTCCGAGGCAGTAGTAGCTTCTAAAAAACCTTCAATTTCCCCCAATGCATTCACATTTGCCAAAGGAATGGGGAGCTCTTTATAAATGTATGATTTTATTACATCATTGGTCTTATTGGAAACAAAACTTGAATCAGTTTAATATGTAAATTATAGGCAGAGGGTACATTTCATTGTGGTAGATGTGTTTGTACATATTCTCTTCTTACTTTTCTAACTGAAGTAATAGCTATTTTGCTTCAGCCAAACTACCTTATGTAGTCTTTCAAAGTACAGCATTGACAAGTAAGAACAGGAAATACTTAGCAATACAATTTTAGAAAAGATAACAGTTTTTGTTTGTTTTGTTTTGGAGAACTACTAGTGTTTCCTTATATCAAAATGCAAGGCAGAAAGGCTTGTTTATTTAGAAAGTAGTTTCTTTTCTCTTAATATGTGCTGGATGTTGTTAATATTCTCTTAATATTCTCTGGATGTTGTTAATGAAATCTGTAATTAGGCTACAATATTTTTAAAATCAAGATAATATAAAGTAACCAACCTAGTTTAGAGAAGCTGGGTTATATGAAGAAAAACTTGGCATCAGTATTGTAGGAAGACTCATTAGCAACCTGTGATATGCAGATGACACAAACCTTGCTTGCTGAAAGTGAAGAGGACTTAAAATACTTACTGATGAAGATCAAAGAGCACAGTCTTTGGTATAGATTGCATCTCAACGTAAAGAAAACAAAAATCCTCACCACTGGAACAATAAGCAACATTCTTATCAATGGAGAAAAAATTGAAGTTGTCACAGACTTCGTTCTTCTTGGATCCACTATCAACACTCACGGAAGCAGCAGCCAAGAAATCAAACAACATATCACATTAGGCAAATCTGCTGCACAAGACCTTTTTAAAGTGTTGCAGAGCAAAGATGTCAGCTTAAGGACTAAGGTGCGCCTGACCCAAGCCATGGTATTTTCAATAACCTCATATGCATTCGAAAGCTAGACAGTGAATAAGGAAGGCTGTAGAAGAATTGATTAATTTGAGTTATGATTTTGGAGGAGAATATTGAAAGTGCCACAGGCTGCCAAAAAACCAAACAGATCTATGTTGGAAGAAGTGCAGCCAGAGTGCTCCTTGGAGGCCAGGATGGCCAAACTTCATCTCTCATACTTCAGACGTATCGTCAGGAGGGACCAGCCACTGGAGAAGGATATCATGTTTGGTAAGGTGGAAGGTCAGAAAAAAAGAAGAAGACCCCCAGCAAGATGGATTGGCAAAGTGGCAGCATCAATGGGCTCAAGCATGGCAACAATTGTGAGGTTGACCCAGGACCAGGCAGTGTTGTGTTCTGTTGTGCATAGGGTCACTATGAGTCTGTAATGACTCTATAGCACCTATCAACAACAAACAACAACCTAGTTTAAGATTAAGTAGTTCAAGATAGAATGAG